CTTGAGCCTGTGAGGTCACTGGCTGAGACTGACCAGAGGTCCCATATTGCCCAGGTGCTATCACTGGCATCCTGGAAGGGCTGGCCTGTGTGGCTGATACAAGTGAGAGAACGTCTCACAGATTAAGAGGGAGAAGCCTTGCCCTACATCCCTAATATGGAGACTTAAGAAACTATGGAGAAACGTCTCCTAACACTCCACACTCTCCTCAGCCTCATCACCATCTTCCTGGGTCAAGTCCAAGCTCCAGATCCAAATCATAAGACCTCCCGTTATCTGGCCCCACCTAATTCTTTTCAAACCTCAACTCCTACCTTCCTTCTTAAAATTTCTGTCTCAGCAACACTGGCTTTACTTGGGCATTCGAGTGTGTGCACATGTGCACACAAACTGTTCCCTCTGCCTCCAATGTCCTCTCTGCTCCACCTGCCCCTGCCATCTAGAACTCAGCTACTAAAAAGCATGGCCCTGCAACTCCAGCATCCCAGGGGCCTGTTAGAAACAGAGTCTCAAGTGTATCCCAGGCCTACTGAATCAGAATCTGCGTCTGAGTAAGGTCCCTGCTGACCGCACTGCTACATTTTTACATGGAACCTTAACGTTGGATAAGCCCCTCACCGAGGCCCCAGGTCTTATGTCCAGAAGCCCTCTTTGACAAACAGGAGCCCCTGCCTCCCACCATGCCAGGCAGCGGCCCTCTTCAGTACTCCCAACCCCTTGCTCATCTCACTTGCTATAGAGTATCTCAGATATCCCCATCTGTTTATGTGTCTGTCTTCAGTTCTAGACCAGGGGCCCCCCGACCCCAGGCTGCAGACCAACGCCATCCTTGTGTCCCCATCTTGTATAAGGTCTAGCATATGATTGGAGCTTAAAAAAATGTTATTTGTCACAGCTAATAACCTCTAGAGTCCTTGTGATTTTAAACTTTAGTAACTAACTTTAAATATCTTTAACTTTAATAATAACTAACTTAAATAACAGTTTTAATAACCTTAAATAACTAATAGCTTTATTAACTTCAATAACAAAAACTGTAATCACTAATTTAAATAACTAACACAGATACTTGTGAGCTACATGTAAAAATATTACAATTTAGGTTACTCTTTTCTTTTTCCAGCCGGGGCAGCTGCTGTGAGGACGATGTGCGGGCCAGGCAGGGCAGTGGGACAGGGTCTAGGTTACTCTTATTACACATTTGAATCCATATATTTTGAATGCATTTAATTTTTTAATATTTAAAATATCATAAAAAAATAAAATAAAATATCATACATTTAAAAATATTATAAAATTTATATTTTGCAATGGAAACTTTCAAATATACACAAAAGTAGGAAAGAATAATGAGCCTGGCACTCTGCATCAACAAATGTCCACTTTTTTTTTTTTTTTTTTACTCTGAGGTTTTTTTAAAATTGATTTTTAGAGAAAGAGGAAGGGAGAGGGAGAGAAAGAAACATTGTGAGAGTGAAACATCAACCGGCTGTCTCCTGCACGGCCCTCCTGCACAATGGAGCCGGTATAGAGAATCTAATCAGCAACCTTTCCATACACAGGATGACACCCAGCCAGGGCCAAATGACCACTTTGTAAAAAAATAAAATAAAAAAATTCTCATTTCATCTATTTCCCTCACCCCACCTACTCACTTTTGGGGAGGCTGAACCATTTTAAAACAAATCCCAGATATAATATTATTTTAACCACAAATATTTCAATATGTATCTATAATTTAAAAGAATTTTATTGTACCTAATACAATTAAGTGATTCCTTAATATAATCTAATAGTCTGTATTCAAATTTTATTATTTCAAAGATGAATTTTTATAGTTGGATTTATAGAAATCAGGTGAATGATAGTAAACAAAAATAGCTCTCAGAGATGAAAGGTAAGTTTTTCATGCATGTGGCCCGAATCAGCTGTGTGTGAAGAAAATTATATTAGCTTTTAATGCCATTTTCAGGTTCCTCCCCCAACTCACAACTAGATTATCTACTTAAAAAAACAACACTGTTATAAAGAACCGATAAGAAAAATAGAGCAAAGCAAGAGCAATGCTGAGGTCCATACAAGATGTCACTCAAGCAGTAAAATAAGTGGGAATTAGAATGGTGAGGAAGGTTTTTTTACAAAAGGGAGATAAGCAAACAACAGATTTTAAGCCAAATGATTTCCCCTGTAAAGGTCAAACCAGCAGGACTTACAGAGTTAGAGTGGGCTCTAGAGGGATGATAAATTTGATAATGTTGGAATTTGCTTTTAAAACTCTGTATTTCTTTTGCCTGCACTAAAAACTTGGGGATTCTGAGAAACACACCGGCAGAAGTGGTTTGAGGAGCAAATCCAATTACCGTAGAGTGTGCTCCTTGGAACGGCAAGTTCTGATCCGTGCTCTGTAGGTCAAGAGCACAGTTCAAATTTCTCTGTGCCCCCTTTTGAGTCACACTCCCTCGCTGCCTCCCTGCTCGTTTTAGCTCTCTGTGTAACACGCCGAGGGGCAGAGATTCCGGTCTTCACACAATGGCCCGCCATTCAACCACACTCTGCTTTGTCCCTAAACATTCATTCCCCCTGGCTCCTGCTGGGTCTGTTATATTCAGATATGAACTTTCCAGGAGTCTGATCATGTCACAGGCCTTTTCCTGTATGACAAGTTCAGTGCTAATCATGAATAGCGGGACTTCACACAGAGGGTTCGTATTATTCATGAAAATTATGACTCCACATCCAGAAATAGGGCAAAACTGGCCTAAAATAGGCAGGCATGTATTCAGTTGAGTCCACTAAGGCAATTACCAAGGTCTGTTGCTGCAACTATCACAGGAGTCTTTCTCAACTATGCTAATCAGACACACTCGATGCACAATGTTCTGCCAGATTCAAGGTTTGAGCCTCAGCTTGGTGGGGAGCCTTGGTGCCCACAGGGTGAATGTAAGGTTTTTCCAAAGAACCTCAATATCATCAAGCCAGGCCCTCCCAACCCCCTCAAACTAGGTACTGCCCAGTGCTTATTCCAAATTCCTGTAAGTCTCCCTACCTAGACCATTTCAAGGCCAGCATTAGGAGCTTTGAGAGGGTTATCAAAGGGCCATACAAAAAGGAAATGATATTAAATTTCCCTTTTTTGGAGCAACAAATATTGAATTAGAGGGGTACTAGATGGCTTGTACCATTTTTGCTCTAATTTTCTCTTCTGAACCTTAGTTTCAGTGACCACATTGAGTCAGCTCCCACTGGCCCAAATTATATTTTATAAATGCAAGTTGAGGATTATCTTTCCAAACAAAACTGCCAGATTGAAATCCCCTCTTTGCCATTCCTGAGAGAATGACATACATAGGCTGGTACTAAAAGACTATCTTTGTGTCGAACAAATGGACCGAGGAAAATCTGCTTTCCTCTCCCCCTGTCCCTTTCTTCTTTACATAACTAGGGCCAAATGAGATGTTTTTCATTTTAAAAATTTGATTAAGCAGACTGAGCAAAAGCCCTTTCTTCTGGTCTTTACTGTTTTCTTAATTGTGGGACTGAATCAAGACGTACACATGCTGGAAGGATAGTGAAACCAGAACCTAACTGCCAAGCAGGGGTGACATTTGGAAGTTTAACTTATGAAAGGTGAGCACTGGGCCTCCAGCACCAATTTAGGGGCCACCCTTTCCCCTTGAGGCATCAGAATCTGGACAGTTGCAGTGAGCATGAGTGTGGGGGTCCCAGGTTCCATGCAAACCACCATATCACTCTATATACACAGGCTCCTGACCTGAGGAAAATGGAAGGAGGCAGGGCAAGGAGCAGGTTTAAATAACAAGGAAAAAAAATTACTCAGGTAAAATGACTATAAATGAGCTGTCCTGTTTCAGCTCTAGGAACTGAGAAACCCTGACCATTTGGCATATTTAAGAAGATATTACAAACACTACATTCGGAATCTCCTTATAGTACCATGTTTAGTTTTGGTTTCTGTACTTTAAATCTTCCTACAATATTTTCTATCTTGTTTTAAAGTATCTTTCTAAGGTTCCCTGCCACATCATATATTTCCTAAGGGTCAGGGTATCTTCCTGCCTTTGTATCTTGGATATCATAAACACTAATTATAGGAATAAAGGAGTGAAACAGTTAGAAAACAGGCCTCCTAGTAAAAGACTAAAGAAACCGGGATGTTTGGGATTTGGGTTTTTTGGTAGTAGAAAGGGACAAGTTGTAAGTTTTCATAAAAACAACAGAACCTCTAAATGCTAATGTGAGGAAAAGGTCTATCCCATTGGCTTTGGAAGGTATCTAGTTAGATATTTGGAAGGTATCTAGTTAGATATTTACCAAATATCATGTTTCAGGGAACACAGCACATTAAATCCAAATAATAAGTAGTGTCATAACTTAATTTCACTGTCTTTATTCATTCTAAAAAAAAAAAAATTCATTCACAAAAGTATAAGGTACTTTCCCTGGCTTGCTACTATTGCCATCTCTACTCATGAAAGAATAAGCATGAGGAAGCTGAGTAGAAGTAAAAATTCTGGTTGGTTTATCCATCAAGGAAATGGGATCCCGAGGGAACCAGGCTTCCCCATTTCTGAAAAGCTCAACAAGAGAAGCGAAAATCCTCAGGCCAGGATGGCTTCTCCCTTCACCTGCTTCATGAAATCCAGCTACCTGAACTGCCTGCCCTCCGCAGCAGCCTTCACTCTACACTCTCAGTGTTCAGTGTCCTGAACCTGCGGGGTGCGTGAGGGTCCTGAACCTGCAGCGGCTGCGTGAGGGTCCTGAACCTGCAGCGGCTGCGTGAGGGTCCTGAACCTGCAGGGGTGCGTGAGAGTCCTGAACCTGCAGGGGTGCGTGAGGGTCCTGAACCTGCGGGGTGCGTGAGGGTCCTGAACCTGCAGCGGGTGCGTGAGGGTCCTGAACCTGCAGTGGCTGCATGAGGGTCCTGAACCTGCAGGGGTGCGTGAGGGTCCTGAACCTGCAGGGGTGCGTGAGGGGCTTACTCTGGCAAGCAGGGATCTCGCAGTACTTCCAGTAGACGCCGTCCTCCTGCTCCGCCACGTAGCACCAGGGGCTCACATCTCCATCTGGGTTTCTGTTGGGGAAAAGGACATACCAGTAACATTTTTGTCATTTTAAGTCAACAGGCTCATTGCTTTTCAGTTTTACCAAAAAGGAACACTTCAGCTTCTGTTATTTTTCATAATTGGTATATACCTCAATGACACCTCTTATGAAGAAAAAATTGGTAATACCTTCTTCCTCCAACATATATTTCAGAATATGGGAGCAGGAGGAGGTTGGGGGGTGAGCAAAGCTGATACATATTTACACAAATTCACTACAGTATAACCGGGACAACTGACCACTGAACAAATCATGACAAACAGCACTGTGTAAACATGGCAATTCCCATGGCTGAGAGAGCACAGGTTCTCCTGATATTGTGGATAAGAATGTGAAGGATGGCCGAAACCGGTTTGGCTCAGTGGATAGAGCGTTGGCCTGCGGACTGAAGGGTCCCGGGTTCGATTCCGGTCGGGGGCATGTGCCTGGGTTGCGGGCACATCCCCAGTGGGGAGTGTGCAGGAGGCAGCTGATTGATGTTTCTCTCTCATCGATGTTTCTAACTCTCTATCTCTCTCCCTTCCTCTCTGTCAAAAAATCAATGGAGTATATTTAAAAAAAAAAAAAGAATGTGAAGGATGCAAACGGTCAGGATGGCAATTTGGTAATTAAGAGTCAAAAGCCCTCAAAATATGCAAACTCCCTTTACTTGGCAATTTCTCCTTTAGTATTTTATTCTAAGGAAATCTTTACTTATAAAGATGTTCATCACAACATTTTTATAATACAAAAAAGTTAGAAACAAAAATTAATGACTGCTTAAATAAATATGTTATAGCCATATAAAGGAATGCTAGGCAGCTCGTTAAAATGTGGTCTAGAGCCGAAACCGGTTTGGCTCAGTGGATTGATGAGCTTTCACCAGATCAGTCTGGTCAACTTATGTTTCATAGAAATGGGTCCTTGGGGTGGTGACACAATACAATATACAGATGATGTATTATAGAACTGTACCCCTGAAACCAACATAATTTTATTAACCAATGTCACCCCAATAAATTCAATGTAAAAAATGGGTCCTATTCTTATCTTAAAACACGAATTTCTTAGAGAATTCTGAAGAAAACTAAGCCAAAGGGTTTCAATCAGAACCTAAAATCCTGTAATCCTGGTACCAACTTCTGATATAGCAATAATAGTTTTAAAAAATTAATTTCACATTTCTGAATGAATGGCTTGGAATGAATGCCCTTCAGGGTCTTCAACTCAGAGATGCCATGACAATAACGGGCAACACTGCAGAACCAGAACAAAAAAGGGCAGGGGTTACTGGACACACAGAAAAGCCTGGCCTCTCTTCGCTCTTTCCAAGTCCCTTTCTTTAGACTCAGAACACTGGAAACCTGACACTCTGGTTAGGCCGGAAACGGGCATAAAGACCCAACAGCCGGAGCTTTGGAGCAACCCCTATCAGGCTGAGAGGGATAAGTCTATTGTGTGGCCCAGAAGATAAGTCGCCCTAAAGCACAAAGGGTCCTTTTATTTTTTGTGCCCAAAGGCAGGTGCCAGTGCCAATTCTGCTCTTCCCCGTCTCTCTGTCTTCCCTCTAATCCAAATAGGTCGAGCCCAGAAAAGTGTGTTCCCATCACTCGCCATCTCTCAGACATCTCAACTGTGATGCGTCTGGAAACATCACACAAGACAAACAGTGTCGGATGTCAGCTGAAAAATCAAAGCAGGAGAACTTGTACAAAGCCCTGCTTTAAACAGTATTTCACTGTCATTTTCCTCCCTCTATTCAGTGTTCAGCTTTGATGTAGTATTTGGTAGAGACCTTAGAAAAACAACTGTTTGTTATCAATGTCAAAATCATTCTGAAAAGCATCAGAATAGCTTAATAAAGAACAAGCAAATTCATCTTTGACTTCACTGCAGTGCTAAAAGCAAAAGGCCCAGACTCTCTGATGTGACAACAATCAACAATTTCAGCCTCACTTTTCTGAAGTACACACTGGGAGATCAGGTCAGGTACATTCCATCAAGTCAATGCAGGGGAGGGCTGCAGCGGCCAGGGCTGAGGAAGGCGGTCTCCCCCAGCTCTCTTAATGAATACTTACTAGTGCGTGTCTGGGAGCCTGTAGCGAGAACAGGGTGCTAATCTATGAGAAAAGATTTTTTTTTTTCATCTGAATGAAACCTCATTGGAAATTTCAAATTTACATTAAAGTCAGACTTAAAAACAGGAGCTCTTCTGAGAAGATTTGCTTGATAGAAAGCAACAGAATCATAGAACAAACCAGTGGCCCACTATCAAGAGATACTTTAGAACAAGAACATAAATATGTAAAAACAAAAAACAAACACTGGTTTCTCTTCCTAAACACTCTTCCCAACCCAACTATTCCTATGAATAGAAAAACCAGGGGAAGGGAATAAACCAGAAATGGAGTGGAGTTAAATTTTTAATTATGCAAAAAAAATTTAATGAACATGTATAGCTTTAAAAATAAAGTATTTTTTAAAAAAAATAATAATTCTTTTATTTAAAAAAAATAAAAGAGTTACTTAATGAGCATTTGTAACTTCAACAATAAAATGCAAAATGTGAAGGAGCATTTATATAACTTGTTGCCTCTGGGAAGTGGGGCTTGGTGGGGAGGATTTGCCAGGAAAGAGGTAAAATGGGGGACTTTAAACAATATATGCTTGTTGTTCTTGAAAAAGCTCTTAATATTTGTATAGTAACAAACTAGAAACTAATGCAACACAACTGTAGGGAAATGGCCGGTTGGTACAAATGAGGGCAGAGGTGAAGGAAAGAGCTGAACGCCCAGGGATAATGAACACGGGCCACAGGCCTGGTTACTGCAAGACAACCACAAGGGTTTTAGAGTGTTAACAAAAATACATGGAGAGGGCACAAGGTAAACAGTGTGGCCTGTGCAATGCAGGGGATAAATGTGTTGGCTCAGCTGGGTCAGCACACCATGCTTGAGACTCCAGCTTACTGATGGAACCGGGGACACTGTAGCTCAGGATCACTTCTCCCTGTTCCAATGGCTCAAGAGGCTGCCTTTGCACCTGCCCTAATAATAATTAAATTCAACGCATTGCTGAACTGTGAGTCACATTACCAGGATCTTGGGTATAAACGCTAAAACAAAGCTATAACCAAAAGTGCTTAGAATTTTGCTCTGATCCCCACAGACCAGTAATTCTTTACTTGTTTTGGATCACTAACAACTGAGAATCTGATCAGAGTCATGGATCACCTCCCCAGAAAATTGCAAGTACACATTTGGAGCACCATGGATCTCAGGTTAAGAGGTAGAGTCAGACAGGTGAAGAGCAAAGAAACACCCGTCTAGTGAGAGGAAGGAAACAGCACACATTTGATGGCTGCCGCTGCCCCTAGAAAGGTTATCCTGGTCTGGCAGAAAGGGGATAACGCAGGGCAGCTTTTTTTGTTTTTGCTCCGAAGCACAGGGAGGTCTGGGCCACAGGTGGTGCTTTAGCTTGACCACTACATTCATGGCAGCTTACGAAGCTTGGCTGTCTGTGTGCCCACTGGTGGAAGGACCAACTAAGAAAACCTCCCAAAGAGACATACAAGTGACCAGACAGAAACGCAGAGCTCTGGAAACCAGTGTCAAAGCAGCCCAAGTGGAAAGAATGGTAGAAAAAAGGTCTGAGAGAAAGATTTAAAAAATAGTGACAAGAAAGGCCTTCTGAGTTGGCCAAAAGGAGACAAAGACGCTTTCCCTAGTTGCGAGCAAGGTTGGAAGAGGAGACGAGATGATTATTATGTTTTTTGAGTACTGTGTGGCTTCATCTTACCTGCAATAGTTATGCTCGCCCAGGCCCCCCTCCCCATTGGGGTAATTCAGAGTGTTGTATGGATGCTGGAAAGTCTCGTTCCAGAACAGACATGGCTTCCCGCCTTGGAGTGCCGTCCAGTTCTGCGTCCCCCTGTAATCTGCACCGTTGGTTGTGAAACATTCTAGGAGAAAGAAAAGACAGAGCAAACTAATTTTCTGGCAACATCTCTGGTCTCCTCCCTCTCGGGTTGATGTTTTACTTGTTTTCTTTGGGCCAAGTTAGAAATGGAGAGTGTCTTGCTAGGTCCTGGACACAGCAAGCTTAACACCGCGAGGGCTGAGTAATTTGAATCGAGGTACCCTCCAAACGCTCGGCTCATCTTGGCACTGGTTTGTCTACAGACACTAGAACATTTCCCCTTAAAGTATACAGATTCCAACTAAGATGTAAACAGCGAGTTTAAATGTATTGAAGCCCATGAAGTGAACCAGGAAACCCCCAAGTCTGGGAACAGTTGGTAACAGCCCTCCACGAGGAATTCTGGGTGCTCGGAGGGGGTCACGGCTCTCGCCAGTGTCTCTGTGTGGTAACTAGAACCAGGTCACCAGCTGTAACTGAGCTCTCCCCTACAGTCTGAAAGGCTGCACTGACACTTGGGTTTAATAAGACCATCGGATACAGCAACGCTTTGGAATCCCAATCACACAAGTCTGGGAATGACTCACATTCCCTGGTAATGAAGAACAGTCCTCCCCACGCTGCCTGAGATAGAAGTGCAACAAAATAGTCAACAGCAGGGAGGAAGGGCCGAGCTGGCATTTTCTCTCACCTGTTTCTGAAATCCCTTCAAGACACATTGAACATGGTCTCGGGTCTATTTTGTAAAATGGCAAAATCCTTGCAGGTGCAACAATGTGCTTCTGAATAAAATCTGCTTCTCAGACTTTTTTTTTTGGGGGGGGGGAATGGGAACTGAGGCTGATAGGATTTCCCCCCACATATTGCATGCATTAAATTCACAGAGGTTCATGAGAAAGGCACAGTACAAAGAGCAATTTTTAAAAATTAGCTTAGTTGAAACTGACAGATAGAAACACTTCAAACACTTCTTTAAGATGTATCACTAGGAACTTGACAATCTGGGGGAGTCTCACTACCATTCTGAGCTTTATTTCTTCCCCTCCCCTGACATGCACTGACCTCTAACTTCCGATGTGAAGGACTCCTGTTGCAGTGCATGCTCCTGCTCCCGCGTACGCATGTGCACAATGTGAGCACATCTATATTTTAGAAGACATTTCTTTTACTATTTAAAAATCTCTCTTCCTGTACCCCTTTCTCCCACTCTCTGGGCTCTGTGTTTTGTCTGGGATAGCACAGTTTTATGGAGAGCCAAAACAATCTGGAATCCCGGCTGCACAGAACACTCGAGTAATTTATCGTGTTTGTTGCGACATTCATATGTTATGATGTGTGACTTTTCATGTAGCACAACAACCAAACCCTCAACCAGAGTCTGCAAAAATAAAGAAGTTCAAAGGTAATTGAAGGAGGCAGCTCAGTGTAGCATAAAATGCAGTGAACCAAGGAATGAAGCCCTGGCTTCTCATCCTGGACCTGCTGCTGACCAGCTGTGCGACCTTGGACAAATCGCCATCATCCACATCACCACTAATGCTTACAGAGCGTTTTACCGTGTGCCAAGCTCTGTTCTAAGTGCTATACAAATATCAACTCCCCACCAACCCAGTGGGGCGGCTCCTTCATTCTGCCATTTTACAGATGAGGCAACTGGGGCACTCAACCACACCCCATACTGCCTCTAGTGCAGTGGTTCTCAACCTTCCTAATGCCGCGACCCTTTAATACAGTTCTTCATGTTGTGGTGACCCCCAATTTCATTGTTACAAATTGAACATAATTAAAGCACAGTGATTAATCACAAAAACAATATGTAATTATATATGTGTTTTCCGATGGTCTTAGGCGACCTCTGTGAAAGGGTCGTTCGACCCACAAAGGGGTCGCGACCACAGGTTGAGAACTGCTGCTCTAGTGGAACCCCTTGGCATCGTCTTTATTTTCCCCATATTCTCCCTCACACCACCTCCCACTCATCAGCAAATCCTGCTGACTTTCTTAAACTATATTCCCTGAAACCCACCCTCTCCCCTGCGTCTTGGGTGCCAGCACTTTAGTCCTGTTCACCATCAGAGGACAGTACAGCTTGTTCAGGTCTCACTGCTTCCACTTTGGGGCTTCTGCAACCCATTCTCCACGCAGTGCTCCAAGTTCTCAGGAAGACAGCACTGGGAACAAAACCCAAACCTTCCACCTTGTTGTCTGCAAAGCTTCCGTGACATGGCCCGGGCCCTCCCTCCTGCTACACCCCCCAAGCTCTTCCCCTGGTCACTCGCTGTGCACCAGCCACATTGGTCTACTTTTGATTTCGTCAACACACCACATTACTTCCTGTCTGAAATTTTATACCCCTAATACCTGCCATGACACTAGAATGTTACCTCCTCAGAAAACCCTTCCCCAACATCTCCACTTCTTTCTTCTGCCCTTAGTTTGTTTGCTAGAGAAAAAGAGAGAGGGGGAGAGTGAGGCTGTGGGCAGGGGTGTGTATATCACATCAGAGCCCTTTCCCAGCCCCAGGGCTAGAGAAAGACCTGGGAACCTGTATTTCTATAAAGCTGCCCAGGTGATTCTTTTAATTAATCAGGTGTGTAAACCACTAGACTAGATGATTCTAAGAACATCAAGCCAATCTTTGCTAATTACTAGGACTTTAATTGCTGTGTGTTATTACATCTTCTCCTATGAGTGGTTGAGGAGTGGCCCCGGGAGCCAGAAATGCAGGCCTTCGCAATAGACAGCAGCCGGTAGGATGGTGGGCTCAGGGTTCCCAGAGGCTCAGATGACTTGATTTGAACACAAAGAGTGTGGCAGCCACCCACACAGGAGTCAATCCTCCTGAACGGGACGAGGTGGCATCTGAGAGAGGGAATGGGAAAGTACACACTTGTCTGCTTTCATCTGTTTCTCCCAGGCCCAATTCTGTTCTCCTTACACCAGGGAAACTGAGGCAATGTACAAGATTGTCTGATTATCTTTTGAACAGACTTGCCCAGAGCATGTCGATGATAAAAAAAAAAAAGGACAAGAAAAACAAACTTGAGTGTCTAGATCAAAGTTGTGTGTGCATCTTGATTTCATCAGAATACTAGGGTGTGGTACCAGATAATGAGGACCCTGCCTCCCTTCCTTTCTACTGCTATGAAACTGACATAAGCTTTGGCTAGCCGGGCCAAGAGTAGCTGAAACCAAAAAACAAAATAAAAATATCACATGGCCGGCTATATATGTATGCATTTGGTGAAAGAGAATGAGCAAGGGCAATAGATCTCATCTCTAGGGTGTGATTCATTAATTCATTCAACAAATATATATTCAACACCTACTGTGTGCCTTGCACTACTCACAGCCCGGGGAAGGCAGTGGTACCCAACTTTCTCTCACCCCAACACAGCTGCAGCTCTCAGATACTCTCCTGTCTTTAATAATGGCTCCCCAGGAGCAGTGAGTCCCATGATTATATCAAGGAAGGTATCAGGTCTAGACTAGAGAAAGGACCATGTCAGGAAGGGTGGGGGTCCTCCACACACGTAGCACATATAGATTCACTGGGATACAGAGGCAGTGACACCAGTTAAGTAGCTTACACTGTGTGGTTTCAGGAAATCACCTGGACATTTTGGGCCTCAGTTTCTTCACCTGTGAAATGGGGGGATTTGAACCACATGGTCTCAATGTCTCTTCACTCAAACTAATTTCACACAAATTTTAACAAAATATACTGAGGTTCAAAAGTCTGGGGTGATGTGACTAAAATGGATTGAGAGCTCAAAATCTCTTCCAGGCTTTAAATTCTCTAATTCTACATGTTTCTCACCGCACCCGGCTAGCTCAGTCGGTAGAGCATGAGACTCTTAATTCTACATGTTTCTCTAATGGAAGTGAGAATTCTATGGTAAAAAAGTAACTCACCTCCCAGGTGGGCTCTCCCTCTGAAAAGGTACCTAAGCACTCTTTTTGCTTAGAAGGAACCAGTTCTTCAACAAATAAATTTCAACGAAAAAAGAAAAAGAGGGGAAACCTGTAGGTTAATAGAGACTCAAGAGACACATCACCCGAACATCGCTTAGATCCTGATTGGAACTGTAAAACACGCTGATGAGACAACCAGGAAAATGTGAACATTGACTGGCTGGATATTTGATAATACTAAGGAATGATCGCTAATTTTCCTAGGTGTAATAAGGGTAATAGTACCATTACTATGTTTTTGAAAAGAATTTTTATTATTTAGGGATACATACTTAAATATTTACAGATAATATATGAGATTTGTTACAAAATATTTTAGTTGAAGGAATGAAAGGGATACAAATGAAATAATATTGGCCATGGATACATGAAATGACCTTACACTCTTCTATTTTTGAATATGTTCTAAATTTCCTATAATAAAAATATTTTAAAGGACATCTTGAAAATGGTTATTAACATGTTGTTTTACAATTTACTACCTTAGTTTCTCTTTTTAAAATTGATTTGAGAGAGAGGGGAAGAGAGAAACCTCCATCAGATTCGACTGCCTCCTGCAGACCCCCTCCTGGGGATATAGAGCCTGCAACCCGGAGGCACCTGCCCTGATGGGAATCAAACCAGCAACCTTTTGGTGCATGGGATGACGCTCAACTAACTGAGCCCCACTGGCCAGGGCTACCTTAGTTTCTTTTCAAGAACTATAAACAAGCTCAATCAGTCATAAATTCAGTCATCTAAAAGCAAGATAGACATTCACATATCCTGTCCTGGGACTACATATTAACAGTTCAAATGATCACAGACCAAGCTGTGCTTTTGCCCAAAGTAGAATTACCCACAAAAATAATCACTGTAATTTTTAAATTGTGAGTAGTTTCTTCATTAAAATATCTTTTAGATCTTCTTTTCGTTCAAGAAAAGTGTCATTAACAACAGTAACAGTAAAAAGGCCATGCTTCTCAAAGTTATTTTAACTAAAAAATTTATGCTTTTGGCCCTGGCAGGTGTGGCTCAGTTGGTTGGATACTGTCTCAGTTACCAAGGGGTTTGCCAGTTCGATTCCTG